TCTCCTATCCCTTAGTAACATCTCTAATCTGGAAAGAGCTGGGAGCAGAGCTTCAAGTCTTCTTTAAGTTGACAGCTCAATAAAAATCTAAGATCATTCAACACCATCCCAAATGTCAGCCAACAGTGGCTTTTGTCGCTCGCTCTGCTACGGGGAAGGAGGTGGAGGCAGGAGATGTCCAGACATGGCTGTTGAAAAGTTACTCTTTTCTGAGGCAGCCCTCAGTTTCTGAAGGAGAGGAGAGCTGAAAAGACAGTATTTCATTTCTTCTCAGGGTAGAGGCCTTAGGAAATCTGGACGCTGAGTTCATGTCTAGTGACTCACATACTCACACACCTGAAACACAAAACAGCTGGGAGCTGGAGAGGAAGGGATCAGACCCCTTGTTTTTCCCAAGCCTGCTTGAATTACCTCACAGGAAGAAAACGAAGGTCAACTGGGAATAGAGTCCTCAGTTTCCCTTTATAGCCATTCTTTTCTTCCACATCTTGGCAGTCCAGTGGAGAACTGACTGAGGAGGCTCAAGAGAGCCTGAAGCACCAAGGTGACCCTGGTGTTAATTACCATATGGGTCAGCTACTCTCCTGCCCTTCTGCCTAGGAACCTAAAGGCAGAGAGCTATCCCACACCAAAAAGTCTAGTGAACTTCACAGAGTAATTGTTCATGGTCAGTGCCTGCCTCGCCTGGCCGGGCCTTCACATTGCATTTGCTGAGGCTGGCAAGCAGCCTCAGATGAGCTTTGACAGCTGGCACACTGTTTCCTGGACAGCATGTCAAGCTCCACCCAAGAGGGTCTGTCTTTATGAAGCTAGTTCTTAAAGATGTGGCCAGCAAGCATATACACTCTGAGTCTAGCTGACCCCAGTCCAGCCAGTGAGGACACAGGAAAGAACCAGATTCTGTCTCTATGCTCCAGATGGACACACCTGGAAGTAAACAAGCATGGACTTATTTCTAACTGAGTTCACTGATATCCCAAGTCCAGGGAGCCTCACAGGAAGAAAAGCTTAGCAGAAGTGATGTCTGAACCGCATCTTCAAGGAAAGGGAATATGCCTGATGATATATCAGTGTTTCATGTGTGTTTCATGAAGGGAGACAGACCAAGGCTCAACGGTAGGACAGCCTAGCCTCCTCAGTCAAAGATGAGTAGTGTCAGAGGAGACTCAGCTATGTGAGTGATCATCAGGAGGTGGGGGTGGGGTGGGGAGCAGAGAACAAAAAAGAGTGCAAAGGAGGCACACGAGGGAAAAGGAACACAAAGCATGGGACCAAGTCCACAGCCATCCTGGTGTAGAGCAAATACTCACAGAACTAGTTCCCCTACTGTTCTTCCATGTCCATGTTTAACCCTGGCCACATACACCAAAAGAAGGCTGCTCTTTCTGCCTCCAAGGCAGACTCTTCTTGGCAAACCCCTTTTGCTTGGTTACTCAGTCTAAGATCCTCACCTTCACTGTATCTAATGCAACCTTGCAATAGTCTTTTCCCTAAGCCTATAGGGAGCTTCCATCTTGACCCTGGTGTCTTCCCTTCTTCAAGATTCCTGAGAATCACTAAGCTAACTAGTTGCATCAAGTAGATCCTGAGCCTGCTCCAGGGCTATTTTTCTCTAGTAGCATGACATGTGGGCATCATTCTTCTAGTGGCCTGGGCCTTTAGAGCAATAATTTCTCTAGAGCAAGGCACCAAAAGCCCATTCCTACATCATTTCTTCTGTTAACCTAAGAAGCACAGCATGTGCTAGGGAAGGCTAGTTTTCCGGGTGACGCATTCTCTATCAGGGAAGCAGCCTAGCTATACAGGGTACTTCTGAAGCCCACACCCCCACACAAACTCTCCTAGGTCTCCATGCTCTATTAGTGCCAAGATCCTCCTTCATGTGCCAAGGGGCCTGGCTTGCACTGTCCTCTCCTCCATGAACAAGGCTCTGCTAGGGTCAGGTGAGAGCAAAGCCAGTTTGAGCAAACCCCTCTTCAAACTAGAGGCACAGGGACCACACTCATGAGCATAGAAAAAAGATCAACGAGGACCATGTTTCTCCTAGTGACAGCACAGCTCAGCCCAGAGATTCAGGGGAAAAAATCCCTTTAACTGGGACTTCTATGTATGTTTGGAAGACGCCAATCGGACTCCACCCAGTGGTCTGAGCTTCAAGCAGCTCCCCATTCCCAGAAATATCAACATTTCAGTGCATATTACCCGGGGAAGAAAAAGAAGGGATACTGAGAAAATAAAACAAAAGGAAAGACAAGAGCTGGGGTGTGGTGGTGGTGGGGGGCATATCTGAAGTACAGGAGAACCAAAGGCCCTAAGTGAAGCTCAGGTGGTACCTTTTTCAGATTAATCCACTGCTTGAAGTAATCCGCCACTGGCAAGCCTAAATAATGGCACTGGCCTGGAAGCCTACAAAAAAGAGAGAGAACAAGTTGGAAACACACATCCCAAGTTTGGAATCTTAAGCTACAAAGTAAAAACAAAAAAACAAAACAAAACAAAACAAAACAAAACAAAACAAAACAAAACAAAAGACCACGTTTACAGAACAGAGAGCACAGAGTTAAAACATCAGCAGGTCCCCAGCTGAGGAAGATATCCCACCTCCAGCACCACAGATACTGGGCTCAGAGCCATTCCTCAGAACCAAATGTGAGTTTCAAAAGATATTACATAGAATAACATCAGCTGCTACTACTTCCTAATTTGTTAAATTCTATTTTTAACACGTTAAGGTCCTTACTTGCATTTTCTCTCAAAGTGATCCCGTGAGGTAAGTACTATTGTCTGTTGTGGTCTCCTAGCTGCCCTAGGGGTGTTTGCTTTAGATTTATTTTTTATTTTATATTCATGAGTGTCTTGCTCGGATAGATATCTGTGCATCATGTGCCTGGCGCCCTCAGAGGTCAGAAGAGGATTCAGATCCCCTGGAACTAGAGCTACAGATGATTGCGAGCTGTTATACGGATGCCGGGAACTGAACCTGGGTCCTCTGCAAGAGCAACAAGTGCTCTTAACTGCTGAGACATATCTCTAGCCCCTGTTTGATGGATTGTTTGAGATAGGATCTCACTCTATAGCCCTGGCTGTCCTGGAACTCACTATGTAGACCAGGCTGACTTCAAACTCACAGATCCCCTGCTTCTGCTCAGTGCTGGAATTAACGGCACATGCCACCACACTCAGCTCCTGGTATGTGTTTGTTTTGTTTTTTGAAACAGGGTCTCATGCAGCCCCCTTGACTCCAATTCCCAAACACTGGAACTAGAAACCTGTGCCACTACACTTTTTGGCAGTGTTGGGGTCAAACCCAGGGTGTCAGGCATGCTAGGCAAGTATTCTACCAACTGAACTACATTCCCAGTCCTCCACAGGAGCAGCACGTAAAGACTTTTTAAAAACTGGTATCTCAGGTATGTGTCAGTAACAGAAAACTGACTAACACAGGGCCCAAGAAGGGAAAATGAGCCTTCAGAAATTATAGAAATCATTAAGTCTGACATGGTGGGACACGCCTTTAATCCCAGCACTTGGCAGGCAGAGAGGCAAGTGGGTCTCTGAGTTCAATGCCAGCCTGACCTACACAGTGAGTTCTAGAACAGCCAAGGTTATATAATGGAGAAACCCTGTTTCAAAAGAAAAAAAAAGACAAGACAAGGAAAGGAAAGGAAAAAGGAAAGGAAAAAGGAAA